CAACACAGGCTGCCGTACGAGCTGTGCGTTTAAGAAGCACATGTGTTTGTGACTGAACTTAACTAAATTATTCATTAATATTGATGTCAGCTCTTTCCAATGTTTGTTGACCAAAGTTAGACACTTTTGTGCGAATCTTTCCATGTAACTTCAACACGTCACCCGTCTCAATGCAACCATTTTAACTGCACTGGAATGGTGCAATGATATTTGCACCGCTATCTCTTGTCTACTTTGTGTTTTATCCTTTTTATAAAGCCTGGACTGTTTCTTTTTTCGATTTTCTGGTTGAAACCTTTTAGTACGCTGTACAAAACTATTTCCTCTGATGTACTGTAGTTATTATCAATGTCAGATGGCAAGTGAAAATAAACTACATCTGTCAAAATCCCACAGGTGTCTGAATTTTTTTAGCATGACCAAAGACTATTATCAGACCTTATTCAGACCAGCGAGGCTGTGAGGATATCATAGACTTACCGTGTTTTCAATGGCATCCACTGTTTAAATCTCCTAGATCACTTAGAATTGTCCACAGCTCATGTTTTCTGGAGTTTTTTGTCTAATGAAATGTATTGGAAAGAAGTTTTTTTGCAGTGTTTCGTCAGCAGAACAGTCAAAGATGAAGAAGGTCTACAGTATGATGAGCTTTAAGGAATGTACTGTAAAGTAAGACTGCGATTTCATAGTACTATCAGTAGGGGGCAGTGCACACACAATGGACTGAACTGACCATTTCACAAGATGTAAACAACACTGGTCCAGAAGCACTTCCTGTTTCAGTTTGTAACTGTTTTCTTTATTTCACATGTAAAGAAAACATCTTAAAGATGTTTGTTTAACTTTTTGATTCAGTTTTATATGTTCTGTTGGTTGTATTTTATCCCAGCTCTTATGTAGTGTTAAAAAACTGAAACAGGAAGTGCTTCTGGACCAGTGTTGTTTACATCTTGTGAAATGTATGCATTGCATATGGATGGTCCTTACATACATGGTCCTTACAGGAGACTTTTGATTAAATTGTAATGGAAATAATGCTTAATTTACATATATACTGTGTGTGTGTGTGTATATATATATATATTATGGGGGGGGGGGGTTGAATTAACATTTCTTACTTTAAAACTCAGCTAATAAGCAAATAATATATAATAAAAATGTTTCAGTTATTTCTATTACCTTTTTGATTTATTTAATAATTTTCATATATATATATATATATATATATATATATATATATATATATATATATATATATAATGTATGTGCTTAGTGTGATGGTACTCACCACAAAATTGGAAACAGCAGTTGATATAAAATAAAATCAAAAATTGTGCACAAATGCAAACGGTTAAAACAAATTATAGAGATTCTTATAATGATTTTTATTATTAATAATATTATTAATATTACTTCTTAGAAAAGTGTAAAGTAACAGCTTTCATGAATTTATTGTAGGGAGGAAGTAAAACAAAAAGTCCCAAAATACTGAAAATCTGGCAAAATGTAACATTTTAACACTCATAAAATTGAGGAAAATGTAATAATTGTGATGCAATTAATTAATTATTATAATCTACCCTTCAAGACTATGATTACTTAACATCTTTTTCCGCTTTAAAAACATCCTTGGTGACAATGTAATCTACCATTTAAAAATATTGATCAATGCACAAAATAAATGTTCACTTATTAAACAAACAAAAAATAATAATTTAAAAAAAAATGTGTGTGTTATGCATTTGAGCCAGCCAGGCCCCCTAATGTACCTTTAAAATGACTTTTGACCCCAAGCACGAGGTCACCCATGCACATTTTATTTTTAATAGTTATTACCAATTCATGTTTAATGTAAATCTATATTATATAAGGGGGATACATTAAGTGATTAAAAGAATCTACAGAAGCTTTGACAAATTAGATGCAAGTATGGCTCTGATTAAAAATATAAAACCACAGATCCATCACTCTGAAATAATCATCCCAACGAATATGCTCTCAGTAGTTTCACGATGAAGTTTGAAATAGCCTGTCATGAAGAAGCACTCGTCTTGTTTGTGAACTAATAAAACCTTGAGTATTGAGTTGATTTAATTGACACTATATTTTATGCTAATGGCACACAGGGGAAACACTGTATTCTATATTTTGTTTTATTTCTGCATCGCCTGTGGCCTGTTGCTCAAAAACAAATTTAAATCTAAAGAGTAGCAAGCCCATTGACTAAATTGGAGCAATAGAACCGGAAGTACAAAGGCGTTTTGCGGAGTATGGGAACTACCGTTTTAATGCCGTAACCGTCGCCGTCCTGTTGAACGGACATGGAGCAAGTCCTTCTCTTACAGCAGCTGTCTCCATCTCGCAAGGCACTCGTCTAAATTTAGAATAAGAGGGAATTCACTCAGCTGTAAGGAATCTCTCAGCTCAAGCACACACACACCATCACGTCATCCTACCGTACTCTGCTGTAATGTCCGTCCGTCATCATCTCTCTCACTGGAAACATGACGAAAGGATCCAGGATTCAGTTTGAACAAGGCAGAATTGTGCGAATATAAAAACTGAAAAAACATAGTCTCGAAATAAATACCTTGATGAGAGTGTGTCTGATAATAATTCAAAGGTCTTGTTCTGTGAGACATGCTGATTGATTTAAAGGCTATTCCTGATGAAGCGATATGGAGAGATAATTTAAATTACCCGCTGAGATGATGAGGTCTAATATCTTGTTATCATCTATCATGTTTTTTTTTTGTAAACAAGTGACATTAAGATAAAGAAAAAAAAAGACTTTTCGACTTTTCGTTTCCTGCCTTTTATATTTTTAATAAAACATTGTTTAGTATGTTTTTAAGCCATTTTAGTTATGTGTACTCGCAACTAAATAAATATCCCCATAATATTTATTTTTATGCAGTTGATGGAGATTTGTGGGATGCACATCCAGGGCACGGAGCTCTCGTTCCACCACATCCCAAAGATGCTCTATTGCGTTGAGATCTGGTGACTGTGGGGGGGCATTTTAGTACAGTCAACTCATTGTCATGTTCAAGAAACCAATTTGAAATGATTTGAGCTTTGTGACATGGTGCATCATCCTGCTGGAAGTAGCCATCAGAGGATTGGTTGTCAGAAACAATGCTCAGGTAGGCCGTGGCATTTAAACGATGCCCAATTGGCACTAAGGGGCCTAAAGTGTGCCAAGAAAACATCCCCCACACCATTACACCACCACCACCAGCCTACACAGTGTTAACAAGACATGATGGATCCATGTTCTCATTCTGTTTACGCCAAATTCGGACTCTACCATCTGAATGTCTCAACAGAAATCAAGACTCATCAGACCAGGCAACATTTTTCCAGGCTTCAACTGTCCAATTTTGGTGAGCTCGTGCAAATTGTAGCCTCTTTTTCCTATTTGTAGTGGAGATGAGTGGTACCCGGTGGGGTCTAGTCCATCCGCCTCAAGGTTGTGAGTGTTGTGGCTTCACAAATGCTTTGCTGCATACCTCGGTTGTAACGAGTGGTTATTTCAGTCAAAGTTGCTCTTCTATCAGCTTGAATCAGTCGGCCCATTCTCCTCTGACCTCTAGAATCAACAAGGCATTTTCGCCCACAGGACTGCCGCATACTGGATGTTCTTTGTAAACCCTAGAAATGGTTGTGTGTGAAAATCAGTAACTGAGCAGACCGACCCGTCTGACACCAACAACCATGCCACGCTCAAAATTGCTTAAATCACCTTTCTTTCCCATTCTGACATTCAGTTTGGAGTTCAGGAGATTGTCTTGATCAGGACTACACCCCTAAATGCATTGAAGCAACTGCCATGTAATTGGTTGATTAGATTAATTGCATTAATGAGAAATTGAAAAGGTGTTCCTAATAATCCTTTAGAAATATGGTGCCTAATAGGTTTCTTAAAGGGTTTGCTATTAGTAACACTTCTATAATTAACCTTGGCACATAACATGTTTTACAGTATGAGACCTTGTACAAAAGATGTTTCTTTCATCTGTGGTTCCATGTTGCATATTTAATGCCTTGTTTGTATTTCAACAAAAGAGCTACTTATGTTATCCATTCAATTCTGCCTTTCAAAGACTCTAACAGCAGCAACAGTAACATTCACTATGATAAAAAATTATAATTTCATTTGGATTCATCCGTTAAGTCATCTAAAGCTGTCCCTGAATAAATGTTAACTAATCGTTGCATTGATGTCCAGTTGACTGCCAGTTAGCATGAATATACTGCTCACCAAGTCAATAATCACTGTTGTTGATCCCTGAATGTGAGTTTTAGACAGCATCCCCATCAAAAATCAATTCTTTCAAAAAATGTAATCATATACATTAGAAATTAGAACAGTAACAGCCATTGTTACACACATAAACATGTATTGTGTTATTTCTGTTGCTTAGTCCACATAAAAATGCTTAGAATTATTATAACATAATCAATATTAACATAACCAGACAATTGTATAATAATTACTAATATATATATATATATATATTGGGTATGTATGATGCTATACAGTACTATGCACACATCCGATATAATACTGAAATTATACCAAACAAAAAAAATAATTATACCAGACAAAAAAATAAATAATTATTTAATCATGTCTATATTTATGATTTTGTGTATTGTGTTTTATAACAGTATTACTATTATTTTAATATGGTATATTATACTATATGTCACATCAAGTAATATAATACTTAAATTATAGCCTAAAACAACAGTTACTTGAATAAATACTGCATTATTTAATAATGATTATGTTCTATAACAGTTATTATTCACGTAGTAATAATAAAATGAAGAAGAACAAGTAGAATGGCATTAATGGAACTGTTGTTGTCAGTCTGTCACGGCATTGTCAGTGTTAAATCTGTTTTGAGTCTCACATGCACATGAATTCACACACAGCGAAGAATTCTCCAAGTGTGGCACCATTCCTTCGCCCATGCAGCAGCACACACTCTCTCACTCACTCTCTCTCTCTCGCGCGCGCTCTCTCTCATGGCGAGCAGTAGGGACGCCGTCTCAGTTACGGACTGACGGAAGCTCTGCTTTCCTCTTCGCATTCTTTTAAAAAAACCACATGAATTCACTCGCGTAAAGAGGCGTGAGTCTCCACTCTTCCGTCTAAAGGGGTTAAATAAAGGAAACCTCAGCATGAACAGTATGAGCAGTTGCGGCTTCCTGAATATGGCGACGACTGGAGATTTTGACCCGCTCAACGCCACTATTCCTGCCACAAAAGTTGAGATTACGGTCTCGTGCAGGTGAGGAACGTTTACGTACAGCTCGCACCTTTACGCACAACTGCCTTTTATTGACAATCCGCCTGATGTTTTAATAAACAATTTGGAGACGACACAATATTACGCATGACATTTTGGCACAAAACCAGTTTATAACCTCGTCTATCTCCAAAATGTCTTGCGTATGTGTGTAAACGTGGTGTAGGATATGTGAATATCATAGAAGAAATATATTATTTCCACTGTACTTTTACTCTCGGAGTTTTTCTGACTGTCACTTTCTTTCACACCATAACAAACACTATCCACGCCGCTTCTTCCACCAACTGTTAGCTAGTCAAATGCCGAACATAAGTTTTGTTTTGGTATAGGAACTATGTGTTGTTTTTCCGAAATGGGCTGTTACTTCTGAAGTGAAATTGAATTAACGGTGTACTTTGTAATGATTATGACTTGATTTGGGGTCCGGTAAACCGAAAACACACAGTCGTTTGTTTTGGTCATGATGATGACTATCTTTCAACCGACTTACATTGTTTTATACTGCACTTCTGATATTTGTTTCATTAAACCTTGAGTCATAATTTGGTTTGTTATGTTTAATAAACCCTCATTCAGGTTTGACTATCTTCTCCACAATGTAAGAAAATTCCCCTCACACTTGTTGTTTTACGAATATGGGCTGCCGTTGGTTTCTTTCTTACGTTCAATCATAAACGACTGCAAAACCACACGTTTATATCAAACATGTCTCCTTGATGATGTTCAAGTTGTTCAAGATGAGATGTCACATTAAAACTAAAATATTTAACACTTCTTTACCTTATCCTAAACACACTTGACCTCTTTTGAAATACTGTTATGATTCATATTTCGGTGGCACTTTATTTTACAGCCCATGTACAAACTATGTACGTACGGTAAGACTTTACATTAAGGTTAATTAGTTAACATTAGTTAATGTAAACTAACATGAACTAACAACGAGAAATAGCCTTGTTACAGTATTTATTAATCTTTGTTAATGTAGAAATACAACTGTTCATTGTTTGTTCATGTTAGTTCACAGTGTATTTATTAAAGTTAACAAATAAAACCTTTGATTTTAATAACTTGTTAGTAAATGTTGAAATTAATATTAACCAAGACTAATAAATGCTGAGGTATTGTTCATGTTAACTAAGGTAGTTAACTAATTAACCGTAATTATTATAATACGTAGGTAGGTAGGCTACTAAACCTGAACCTAACCTTAGTTATCTTATATTTTTTTAGGTAAGTACACGCAAGTACATATACTGTATAATAAAGTGCAACCCATATTTCTTACCAATATATCATCATGATAGCTGGCGTTTTACCTTTTGAACTCACTCTCCCACCAGAAGCATATTTCATATTTTCATATTTCTCAACAGCTTGGGTTTAACTGGAAAATGATGGCTTTAATAAAGCATATTTGGGAAAGTTATTGATTGTTGTGCATTTAGAGATTGTTCAGATGAATAATTCACGTGTAGGCCCTATACGTTTGTGATGCATCCGGATCCCCTCGCGTAAACAAATGCGAGCGGGCAGGAGCTGTCCGCTCAGCCGTTGTGAGGAGATGTTGACGGTGAATTACTATGCTCCGTGTCCCCTTGGGCAGGCTTGTGCAACAGGGGAAACACACACACACACATAGGTGCGCACAATCTGGAAGCTCTTTTGCAACACTGCACCGGGTGGGAAGGGAAGGGTAGCGGTGCCATGGTTACGATCAGGTACATTCCTGTACTGTAGGGCCACTTTACCACTGTCACCATGGTTATCATGGGAGATGAGCAGATAGAGGAGAATGTCTGTATTCATAAGATCACTGTCAAACCTGTGAAATGAAATGCTGAATTAGATGCATATTACATTTATATTTCGAGGTCCACAGGTGTCGTTAAGTTTGCACGTTGGGCAAGTTAGCTTGTTTTTTTTTTTTAGCTGTTAATTATGTTTCGGAGTGACCGGAGTTCAATTTTCAATGTGAGCTGTTTCTTGACTGTGTAATTATCTGAACTTGAAGCGCATGAGGGTGTTAGGTCACTGTATAATCACTTACAAATTGGAGAGTGGCTTGAGAATATCCAACCTGACTGCTAGTTAAATATAGTCTGTTTTAAAGGGCCTGATAAAGATGATTTAATCACAGGTTGTTTTGCTTTTTCAAGTGTTTTTTTCACATGTGGGTAACAGATAAGACCTGTATTTTAGGTTAAAATATGTATATTATGACTGTAAGCACGATTCTGGATAAATTGAGAATCACATTTTTTATTAGATTTTTTTTTTTAAATAGAGATTTTCTCAATATTCTGAATAGAAGACTGAACAAAATAATAGAGGTTCTCACAAAATGTTAATCGCTGCAGTCTATTTCAATATGTTTGATTTGAATGAATATTTTTTGAAAAAGTATTTTTGAGTGAATGAAAAGATCTTTCCCTCATAAAGATAGCACTTGTCACATTACACGATGAATCAATGTTTTTTGAACGACTCTCTTGAGTGAAGGATTCACTGATTCCCTCATAAATACTTCACTTGTTTCATTACACAATGAATCAACGTTTTTGAATGAAACTCTTTAAGTGAATGATTCAATGGCTCCCTCATAAAGATTGCACTTGTCACACCACACAATGAATCAATGTTTTTTTAGAACAAATCTCTTGAGTGAAGGATTCAATGACTTCCTCATAAATACTTAATTTGTTTCATTGCACAATGAATCAACTTTTTTGAATGAGTCTCTCGAATGATTGATTCAATGACGTACTCATAAAGACTTCACTTGTTTTATTACACGACGAATCAACGTTTTTGAACGAATCTCTTGAGTGAACAATTCAATGATTCCCTCATAATTACTTCACTTGTCACATTACACGATGAATCAACGTTTTTGAATGAATCTCTCGAGTGAATGATTCAATGGCTCCCTCATAAATACTTCACTTGTTTCATTACACAATGAATCAACGTTTTTGAATGAAACTCTTAAGTGAATGATTCAATGGCTCCCTCATAAAGATTGCACTTGTCACATTACACAATGAATCAACATTTTTGAATGAAACTCTTATGTGAATGATTCAATGGCTCCCTCATAAAGATTGCACTTGTTCCATTACACAATTAATCAATGTTTTTGAACGAATCTCTCGAATGATTGATTCAATGACGTACTCATAAAGACTTCACTTGTTTCATTACACGATGAATCAACGTTTTTGAACGAATCTCTCGAATGATTGATTCAATGACTTCCTCATAAAGATTGCATTTGTCACATTACACGATGAATCAACATTTTTGAATTAATCTCTCGAGTGAATGATTCAATGGCTCCCTCATAAATACTTCACTTGTTTCATTACACGATGAATCAACGTTTTTGAATGAAAATCTTAAGTGAATGATTCAATGGCTCCCTCATAAAGATTGCACTTGTCACATTACACGATGAATCAATGTTTTTTTGAACGAATCTCTTGAGTGAAGGATTCAATGACTCCCTCATAAATACCTAATTTGTTTCATTACACAATGAATTTTTCAACGAATCTCTCGAATGATTGATTCAATGACGTACTCATAAAGACTTCACTTGTTTCATTACACGATAAATCAACATTTTTGAACGAATCTCTCGAATGATTGATTCAATGACGTACTCATAAAGACTTCACTTGTTTCATTACACGATGAATCAACGTTTTTGAACGAATCTCTCGAGTGAGTAATTCAAAGACAAATACACTTTTAATAGTCACTTGTCGCCACCTACTGGTGTAACAGAGACAATCTTTATTTAAAGCATCAAGTTACTTTCAAAATATGATTTACTCTATTTTGATCACTACCGTAGACATCAGTGTTTATATCCCAGCTGTAAACTTTTATCCCAGTCCTTCTGTGATATTCTGAATTATTGCAAGAAATAACAATGCTGTGTGGTTGAAAAGAGTTTCATATATATGACGCAAGTTAAGGTTATAATTTAGCGCATGGTCTCACAAACGCAGTAGCCCTCAGTTACATATTGTGTCAACTTGTTAGTTATAATTGTTAGTTATTTTACTGTTCTGAACTTTTTAAAACCATATTAGTTTGAGATCAGACGATAATTGGTGGAGCCCCAAATAACAGCACCATGTTAAAGACCCCTGGTCCATAAATGATCTGATAAACCATAAAATCGAGTGGAAAGTTCCAACATTTTTACGGACATAGAGAATTATGCTTTTGTGAAACATGCCTTAGAGATTAAGTATCATGTGTGACTATGACTAATATTCTACTTAGTGCTTTAGGAAACTCAACCTGAGTCAGTTACAAGCTCTCTCGTATTAACGCAATGTAATTCAATCGAAATGTTCCTCTCCAGAACACTATATGCCTGCATTTCCTCATTTATGGCTCTATTAAAGCTGGAGTGGGCAGTCTTCGATAGATAAGAATCCCATTTGGACTCTGATTCCAATGATTGGTAAACAGCTTTGCTTGACACTGTTCACGTGTTCATTTTTGTCCTGTTTGATTCACAGAACTTTCAATATTTGAGCTAAAAATGCATTTTTGTTTTTAATTCTTAATTTGTTATTTGATGCAAAAGGTAACACTTTATTTTTCAATGTCATTGTTACACATTACATGTAATTACTGTAGTAATAACTATAAATTATGCATAAATACATGCAATCAACCCTAAATCAAACCCTCATCCATGAGTACATGTAGTTAATTAATATTAATCAGTACTTAGATGTATGCTTACCCTGTAATACTGACACCTTGAAATGAAGTGTAAATTAATATTATGATAGTAGCTTAACAGTAATGCTATAGAAACCTTTTGTTTGTCTGCATGTTTTTCGGGTGATTGACAGATGTTTACTTCATTGTTATGCAGTCGCTTGGCTACTCTAGGTGGTTGCTAGGGTGTTTAAAAAAAGTCCACCCCCCAAGTCTTATTTGTACAGTAGATA